AATATTTTGTCTAGTTCTGTCGGTTCTATTTTTATACCCCACTCTTTTTTGTCTTTCCTATATCTTGCTTGTAGTTGGAGGTATGCCCACCATTCTAATTCTATCCCTGCATCTTGAAGATTTTTCCTCGATTTTAATTCTCCTCTCTCGTCTAATATGTTTTTATAAGTTATTACTTTCCCTAACTGGATAAACATTGAGTGTATATACATTTCTAATGTTGAAATCCAATTGGGAACTTGCCTATAATTCTGTTGCCAGATTTTGGTCCATACATCTATTAACGCCCGTCTAATGTAGTACTTCCGGAAGTACTGGTGAACTTTATGTTTCTCATCCCATAACATAGCGTGCCATCCAGTCTGCATGTCATGACCTTCCAATTTTAATAATCTCTGGTTTTCCAATCGAATCCAATCCCGCACCCATAGTAAAATTGTAGATTGATAGTATTTTTCCAGGTCAGGGAGACCAAGACCCCCCTTTCCTTAGCATCCTTTAATAATTTTAATTTAATACTTGCTTTTTTTCCTTGCCAAATGAATTTAAGTATGGATTGGTTGAAATTTCAATAAAATTCCTTTTCTAATTTAATTGGTATACATTGAAATAGAAATAATATTTTAGGTAGTATGTTCATTTTGATTACAGCAGGATGGAATTGATTCTTGCGCCTGGCTGATTCTGATTCCATGCTTTGCCCCATAGGCATGTAAATGAAGCAAACCCTTCCCCTCCAGAGAATAGAAGCTTCCAGGACCATGATCTCTTCTGCAGAGAATTTGTGTTTGAACTCGCATGATATTACAGTACCCAGGAGCTTCCATTGTCGGTGCAAAAAGCTTTTTCAAGCCGATTCTCCTCTCCCTCAAAGAGAAAGAAACCGTGGCAGAGAGGAGACAGATTTTGTAAGGTAAGTAAGTCCGGAGCGGCAGGAAGGGAAGGGGAAGCAGTTGTAGGGAGCGGGGAGAGGAATAGGGTGAATATTGCAGAGCCTCTGTGGTTGGTTGCTCGTAAGGGCGAACGACTGCTGTGGTGCTGCAATAGTTGCAATTTGCTCATAAACACTAGGAGGCACTGATCACATAACCTCGAATAAGCATTAACTTGTAACTCAGGGATTATCTGTATTTTAATCAAAACTCTAATAACATACAGTATATTAGATTGCTAATTTGGCCATACCCATTTTGCCATATGAAAGTTACCTAAATGAACAATGATTATGCATAGCACGTACTGAGAGGGATTAGAAATCAACATTATTCAGGTGGTTGTTTGATTATTTCCAAACCATAATGTCTTTTATACTCTTTGAATAGAGATAGATGCCAGATTTATCTTTTATCATTTAATAAATCTTCAATCTATTTTTGAATTAAATTTTATTTTGGAAAATAATATAAGAACATTCAAATGTCTTTTACTGAAAGAAGCTTTTTTCTTAAATATGTATTCCACTAAATTCTATGTACAATTTTTTTTATTTACTATCATTATAAAAGTGTCCTATCTGGGAACAAATCAGGCAACAAAGTGCTAAGAGATACATATCAGATGTTATAATATTTAGTTTTTATAATAAATAAAACTTTCTCTTTTCCCATCAAGCTCTTGAAAATCATATTTTCATGCTGTGTATCATAACTCATGTCCCTTAGTTCAGATAATGATAATGACTGTAATTTTCTTCCAATATACCCATACCCCAATTCTGTTTGTGACAGACTTACCATCAGGAAACTGATCTGCATCATCATCAAACATAGCCTCTTTTAAAGCTGATTTATTAAAAGAACCAACACTATCAGAATAATTGTATGGATTATAGTCACGTGACCGTGGGGAGGAATGAGGAGGCATAGTGTTAAGTAATGAAGTTTTGTTGTCAAGAGCTGTTCGGCCTGTATCAGTCACACCAGTTCCTGTTCGTAGATCTCCTATTCCAGTCCCACTGCAAATCTAACAAAGACAGATACACATACCCTTAATAAAAATATATAGAGATCATCTGCAGAGCTAGATAACTGTTTCAATACCAGATACTTTCAAAATATTGCCCAAAATTGTTTACAAAAAATTTAAGAAGATTAGTCAGAACAGAATACAGAATAACAGATTGGAAGGGACCTTGGAGGTTTTCTAGTCCAATCCCCTCCTCAGGCAGGAAAAACTATACCATTTCAGACAAATGGTTGTCCAAACTCTTTTTAAAAACTTCCACTGTTGGAGAATTCACAACTTCTGGAGCCAAGTTGTTCCACCGGTTAATTGTTCTAACTGTCAGGAAATTTCTCCTTAGTTCTAGGTTGCATCTCTCTTTGGTTAGTTTCCATCCATTGCTTCTTCTCCTGCCTTCAGGTGCTTTGGAGAATAGCTTGACTCCCTCTTCTTTGTGGCAGCCCCTGAGACATTGGAACACTGCTATCATGTCCCCCCTCGTCCTTCTCTTCATTAAACTAGACATACCCAATTCCAGCAAGTATTCTTTATTTTTTAGCCTCAGTCCCCTAATCATCCTTAATCAAGAAGTCCCTTTAATCAGTTTCCTTAATCAAAAAGATTACGGCATTAGTAAAAGCAAAAGAAACAGAGTTCTAATCAGGTTCATATCAGATGTATATAAGATAGTAAAAGAGAAAAAACCCAGCATATTAGCAGATAAAAAATAGCAGAAATATACAGAAAGAAGCCAAGCAAGTTATTAGTGTTGCTAAAGCATAGTAATAGGAGGAATCTATTAGAAAGTGGATAAAGCCTTTTGTAGATACATAAGTGACAGAAGGAGAAAAAACTGTGCAATCACCAAAATTAAAAATGCAAACAATTCTTACGTTAAGCAAGACCTGGCTATAGCAAACCATTTAAACAAATACTTCTGCTCAGTCTTCTCAGAAGTAGATTCCAGTAACAAAAACAGGTTGGAGGATCATACTAGTCCTAGCTGTGCAGGTTCTTTCCCAGGGTTTTTAGAGATGGAGGCAAGCTCTAAAGCGTAATAGAATAATGGATCAAGACAATATTCATCTCAGAGTTCTAAGGGAACTCTAGCTGTGCTTGTTTGACCTTTAACTAGTTTGTTTAACTAGTCTCTTCTAACAGGTGAAGTGTCCCAACATTGGCAAAAAACTAATATTGTACCCATCCTCAAGAAGGGGAATAGGGAAGAAACTGGAAACTACAGGCCAGTGAGCTTAACAGTTGTAGTTCTCAAAAAAATAAAAAATAAAATAAAATAAAGGATTAACAACATTTAAAAGCACACAATTTGGCTTTACTGAGGGCAGATCATGTCAAACTAATCTGATTAACTTTTTTTTAATTATGTCACAAAAGCTATGTCCACAGAATTTCTCCTTAGTTCTAGGTTGCATCTCTCTTTGGTGACGTTGTGCTGTGGACATACAGTAGCCTATTTGGATTTTAGCAAAGCATTTCATATAGCTCTACATAATGAACTCACAAAAAAGTGGTACAAGCTGGGACTTAACTGCTGGGTGGTTCAGTGGATAAGAGGTTGGCTCAGGGATAGATCCCAGAGTGTGACTGTTAATGGGGCACTGTCTGAACTGAGGGCAGTCACAAGCAGTACACCACAAGGCTCAGTTCTGGCCCTTTTTTCTTCAATGTATTTGAAGAGAATACAAGAGAAGTGATATAACAGAAAAATTGCTAGATAAGGCTTGACTTTTTACTGATAAAATAAAGGTGTGTAATAGAGTTGATATTCCTGGAGACATTTATAACAGAAAATGATTTGGCATTGCTGGAAAATTGTGGAAAATGTGGAAACTGTAGTTCAATGTTTCTAAGATCATGCACTTAGGGAAAAAGAATCCTCTGACAGAGTATTGGAAGTACAGTGTTAGACAGAACAACAGAATAAAAGGATTTAGGTATGCTCACAGCAGATGACTGCAAAAAGAGCAAACAGTAATCACCAGCAAGAAAAAGGAGGTTCTAATCCCGCTATATAGAACTTTAGTCATATCCATTTGGAATATTGTGTGCAGTTCTGAAGACTTCACATAAAAGGATATTGCTAAGATTGAGCAAGTCTTGGGACAGGCAACAAAAATGGTTTAAGGTCTGAGGGACAAAACATATCAGGAAAGATTGGAGGAAAGAATATCTACAGGCTGTAGATCAGAAGGGAAACAAAGGACATAATTGAAACCTTTAAATATATTAAAGGTATGAAGATTCTAGAATGCAGTATTTTTAGTATTAAGCAAAAATCAAGAACATGGAAGTAGAACCTCAAACCAACAGGAGATAAGTTCAAAAGTAAAGTTATAATGTATTATATCACAGAAAGAGCAGTGGAATCTTGGAACCAACTTCCAGAGGAAGTAATGTCTCAGTCACCAATAACTGAGTTTAAACATGCTTGGGATAAAAAAAATGTTCATCATCTGACAAAAATTAAGAAAAAAAAATTCAAAGGACACCCTTGAAGGAGTACTAGGTCTTTTTCTGCCATCAGTTTTCTATGTTTCTAAGATTCATTTAATGTAAATGTGTGTGTGTGTGTGTGTGTGTGTGTGCGCGCACACACACACACTCACTTCTTTTATATCATGATACTGCCAGTAAAGAAACATATAAAGGAATATTTTACTAGCACAAAGTAATTAGCTTCAAAATGAGAACCATTTTTTAAGTCTAGGGCTCTCTTCACTGCTCTTATGTCTCTACCCATTTTTTTAAAATTAGGCTAGTTCCCATTTTCTTTGGTAAGTTTACCTCAAAGAACCTGCAACTTTTGTTTTCTTGCATATGTGCTGAAAAAACAAGCACCCAAGTATATATCATTATGACCTCTAAGTTATTTCTCAATCTAGAGATACTTACTGAATCACCATCTTCTTTTTTTGAATCCCGTTTCATAGGTTCATTCATATCTTCCTGACTGCGGAAGCTAAAATTCTGAATTGCTTCAGTCACTCCACGGAGAGAACTATATATATCTTCTGAATTCATATTTTCAGAATCATAATCAAATGCACTGTTAAACAACAGCAATAAAAATATTGTGAAGCAGTTTTAATTTCAGCAATTGATGGTTCTTTAATGGATATTTCTATGTGTTAATTTGTACAACTTAATAGGAATTTAGATGACTGCTTATATTAGAATAGAATTAATTAGGCTAGAAAGAACATATACATACATATGCCCCTCTTTAAGCTGTGACAAAGCATTGCTAGATTGGAAATTTAGATGAGGAATAGCTATTGTAACAGAGTTTAGGATAGGGTTAATATCAAGTATGGAAGAAAACATTCTGTTGTTCAAAGCAGGGATTTACAAGGGTAACCAGGCAAATAATGAGGCAAATTAATATTTTTCTTTTAACAAGATATTTGAAAGTATTTCTATGAAAGAAAGCGAGAAAAAGAAAGGAACAAAGAAATTTATAAACTATATAAAATTGAACATAAAATTTCAAAAGAATGAATTATGAAATAAGCAGAATAGGAATGTTGTCCAATTGATGTTTTAAATATTCTTTCACTATATTTTTCTTAAACTTGAATTAAATTATTTTACAGTTAATTCAGATTTGTATTTAAATTGGTTGAAAACTTAATGTTATTTAAATAAATCACAAAGCTGAATTAGATGTAAAACTCTGTGAAATGACTGATTCTGCAGAAAAAACAATTTCTGCCATTCTGCCCTCTTCCCTTCAAGAAAAATCCTGTTGGAAACAAATTTATCTTTATTAGTGTTGGGTGAGAGTCAGTGCTGGTTCTAAATTAATATTTGGTATCTTACCTTGGTGATAATGTGTTCTGGGATGTATTGGTTGGTGAAGTGATGGGGCTGGACCAACTAGCTGGTGAGCGTGGAACAGGCCTTGTTAATGGGCTTCCCATGGGCCCCTGTAAAACACACACACTTTTCATGAGTCTTTTGAGCATTGTAAATAATAATAATAATAATAATAGTAGTAGTAGTAGTAGTAGTAGTACTAGAATTAATAGTAATAGTAATAGTAGTTGGAAGGGACCTTGGAGGTCATCTAGTCCAGGGCTTTTCAACCTTTTCACAGATTGTACCACGTTTAGGACATGACAATATTTGAGTACCACCAGTGCTTAGCAAGGTGTCAAAAACTTGATGACTAAAAAAAAAGGGGGGGGGAATTTGGGTTTTACTGATTAGATTCATTTGTTGTTATAGGAATGGCTAGTTTATAATATTATGGAAAAGTAAAAAGTTGAGGTTCAATGTTAATGCTTCCTGCTACTGCAACAGAGGAAGTATGTTCTTTTTCCCTTCTCCCCCTCACCTTTTCCCCCTTTTCCCTCCCCACTGTGTCCTACTAGTTGCTTTTGTATTTTTGTATTTTATTCTATAATCTAATAACATATTACAAACTGTAGAAAAAAAAGTACCAGTTTTAATTCCTTCGGTTCCTTTGCTGAATCCCTTTCCCTTTGCACTGACAAATGTATGATGAATTTATCCATGTTTATTAATATGCACCACTACCAGCTAGCTCAGGGGTCTTCAAACTTGGCACTTTTAAGACTTGTGGACTTCAACTCCCAGAATTCCTCAGCCCTCATGGCTGGTTGAGGAATTCTGGGAGCTGAGATCCACAGGTCTTAAAGTTGCTAAGTTTGTAGACTCCTGAGCTAGCTGGTTTGCCCTTCTGAGCTCTTCCACAGTGTTGTAAGAATGCACCCCCCCCCAATCCCTTCCCTGTACCCTTAAAGACACAGGAATCAAGCGCAAACCAAGAAAATAAAGAAACACAAATTCCGGTTTTTCTCTCTCTTTAAGCTGCCTCAGGTGTGTCACGTGTCATAATGGTGCAATTCTAGACTGAAAGGCTCCGGCAATTGCAAAAAGCTTTAGCTTTAAATTAAGCATCTTTACCTTCAAAGAAAACTTTCTAAAAGCCACAGACAGACTCAATTAAAGAGGGTAAAACTAATTACATTTGTTTAAAGGGATTAAACCTTTCCAGTTGTCTTTTTTCCCCTTCCCCCACCCAAGCCATGTTATTTTATAGCCTCTCCTCTCTCCCCTCCCTTTTCTTCAGTTAACCTCCAGCTCCGAGCTGCTTCTGGAAGCCCAATCAGCTGGAGCCAATCAGCTGGAGTCCTGCCGGCTCCTGCCAATCCCAGACAGTCCTGCAGCTGCAGCTGCCTCTCCCTCAGGCATGGCTTGCTCATTCCCCTCCCCTGCTACACTTGGCTAGCAATCGCGTACCACCTGCCACGTGGCAAAGTACCACAAGTGGTACGCGTACCACCGGTTGAAAAGCCCTGATCTAGTCCAACCCCCTGCTCAGGCAGGAAACCCTGCCTATATCATTTCAAACAAATGGTTGTCCAATCTCTTCTTTAAAACTTCCAGTGTTGGAGCATTCACAACTTCTGGAGGCAGGTTGTTCCACTGATTAATTGTTCTGTCAGAAAATTTGTCCATAGTTCTAGGTTGCTTCTCTCTTTGATTAGTTTTCATCGGTTGCTCCTTGTCCTGCCTTCAGGTGCTTTGGAGAATAGCTTGACTCCCTCTTCTTTGTCTGAGATATTGGAACACTGCTATCATGTCACCCCTACTCCTTCTCTTCATTAAACTAGACATACCCAATTTCAGCAACTGTTCTTTATATGTTTTAGCCTCCGGTCCCCTAATCATCTTTGTTGCTCTTCTCTGTACTCTTTCTAGAGTCTCAACAATTTTCTACATCGTGGTGACCAAAACTGGATGCAGTATTCCAAGTGTGGCCTTACCAAGGCATTGTAAAGTAGTATTAACACTTCACGTGATCTTGATTCTATCCCTCTGTTAATGAAACCTAGCAATGTGTTGGCTTTTTTGGAAGCTGCAGCACACTGCTGGCTCATATTTAAGTGATTGTCCACTAGGACTCTGAGATCTCTCTCACAGTTACTACTATTGAGTAAGGTACCATCTATATCTGTGTATTTGGTTTTTTTGCCTAAATGTAGTACCTTACTTTTTTCATCACTGAATTTCATTTATCCTTATCCTTAAATCTCTAAAGAAGGCTTCATGCATTTTTCTAGAATAAAGATTCTAAGTTAAATAAAGACTCAATGCTCCAATTTGAAAACTAACATATAAAAATAACAATAAAAGAGGGCTAACAAATGCATATATGTGTGTTAATTCAGCATGCTTTAATGCAAATTATCTCTACCTATTGTAAATGATTATAAATATACCTGTCCCCCATTGCCTGTATTCCGGAGGTGACTGTGAAGTAACTTTGTGGCACCATCTTGAAATGTTTTTGGTAAAGCACCCAACAACATTGTAAATTCAGGGGTATTGAGTTCAAAAAGAGAAATCAGCACTGATTGCGCAGCCTAGGAAAATGATAAAATAATTAAGCCAGGCTTGAAAGACAATTGTTGATAATTTCTTAATTATGGAATTGTAAAATATATTCACATTCAATGAAGCTCTTTTTTCTTCTTGGACTTCCAACAAAACATATCTCCTTTATTATGAAATTCTAAAATTATGATGAAATTCTAAAATATAATTACATACAAGTAAACTAATTCTTTCTTCTTCTTCTTGAGTTCTTTATAGTTCAATAAAAGAATGACTAAACTCAGGGAGGGGGTGATCCAAATACATTTTTCTATAAAATGTTACATAAATTCAATCCTTGAATTTGAAATTGCAATAATTTTGAAATCAGCACTTACTGTACTTTTATTTTCAGGATACCTACAGCATTTGGTTAAAATAAATGGGCTGGGTTTCACTGCATACTGGGTGGTACTAAAAAAAGACGTGTGTATTTGTTCTTCAGCTTTTTAGGGAATCAGATACCAGAAACATCTGCAACTTGTGTGAATAACGCCTTCTTCTTATGACATTAGATGGTGTACAGAGCATATAATATGTGTTTTGCTAGCCTGTATTAGCAAAGTGTAGTCCATGTATGATATCCTATACTAGACCATGATGTGAGTGTAATATGTATTAGGTTTGTTAGATTCTAATCTCAACCTTTTTCTGACTTAGCAGAGCCTGGTTGCCATTTAATAGGTTTTGGGAGGTAGACACATACAGGGCAGATGTGCACTAGTCTGGATCTATTCCAGCTACAACCCTTTATTGGAGGTGTGCAGCTGGAATGCAGTGAATTTTCCAGTCAGTGTTCACTCCAGATAACTGCCTGGATTAATTATTGAGACTTTCTTGAGCAAGATTTTGGAAGTGGTTTGCCATTTCCTTCTTCCCATGGCTGAGAGGGAATGAATGGCCCAAAATTACCTAACTCAGTGATGGTGAACCTTTTAGAGACCGAGTGCCCAAACTGCAACCCAAAACCCACTTATTTATCGCTGGGTGCCAGGTGGGCGTGGTCCACTGGGTGGGTATAGCTGTGGTGGTCATGGCAGATTGGATGGGTGTGGCCAAGGTTGGCATGGTCACCTCGATGTTGCTCATGGGGAAGGACGCCTGTGGGGGCTGGGCAGGGTTGGGGGAGATCCAGGGAGTCTCTGGCAGGTGGGGCAGTGGGTAGGAGGCGAGGCAAGGCGTGGCAGGGTGGGGGTGCCATTGTTGCAGGACAAGGCAAGGCAGGGGCTGGGGAGGCTGCTGCCTGACACCATCGGCTCCCGCACAGAGGCCAGCAAGTGTATGGGGGCCAACAGTGTCTGTCAGCAGCCGCAGCCTGCCGGCCCCTCAATCGGCACACTCTGGGGCTCCACAGCCCGCCGCCAGCAGTTCAGAGAAGCCACCTCTGAGCTGGACGGACGGCTGACAGCTGAGGAGGCAATGCAATGGGTCATGCCTAGGAAAAGGAGAGCATGCGAGGCCAGGAGGGATGGGATATGGGGAAGGAAACCAGCCATGCTGGGATGCATCCGGCCACTTGAGACCTCGGCGAGTCAGCAGGCGGCTGGTTGAAGAGGGGCGGTTGCCATTTCCGGGGCATGACATGCGTACCCACAGAGAGGGCTCTGAGTGCCGCCTCTGGCACGTGTGCTATAGGTTCACCACCACTGACCTAGCTGGTGGTCTACCTAAGGCAGGACTACAACTCAGACCTTCCAATTTTTAGCCTGAGGAATGGAAAAGATATATTCACCATGTGGATGTAGACACAGAGTAAGTCAAATTCTGTTATAACAATTGGGAGGTCTCTTGAACACATTAGATACAATAGTACCAAGTGGTCATCCTGCATCCAACAGCCCTTGTAATAATGCCAGTCACAGAAGGTCTATGTATTTAGTTAGTTCCTAGAATATGGCCAGATGAATCAATGAAAAAGGTTAGCAGTGACAAAAGAATGCCCCAACAAGTCATTATTTTTCTGCATTACACTTCTACTTTAACTAGTAACCCAATTCTCCACTGAATAGCTGTGTTTATAGCACAGGTAGAGGTATATATTTCAAGAAGGGAGGCAACTTACATGCACTGCCTCTGAAATTTATTCAGTGATTGAGTTTCCAATCTGGCCAGATATATATATGCTACCAGATTCTGATACTCAATGTACAGCTGAAGAATGCATTATTCTATATATGTTACACCCACTTTTTTGAAAGCCACTATAATACAAAGAATAATGTCTAGAAGTATAGGCAAGATTTTATAACTCTACTTCCAAATGAGGCACCTTCATGTATTATATTTCATGCAATGACAGTATATATATACCCATATTGACTGGATTTTTTTTTCAAATACTCTAAATAAGCAGGTAGCTGGCAAGTGTATTGGCAAATATATTTCCAAATCAGTTTAAATAGAAATTTACATGATTTAAATTCATCTGTTTATGTGACATTAGGTCAAAATTCTGCTTGGTTATTGTCCTTTACAAAAATAAGAAAAGAAAACAACAAACACATGGAGAATTTTTTTCAAAATTATTATGGATAATCAATATCATGTTATTGAAATTAAAAATATTAATGTATAATTCAATACAATAAGAGATAAATGAAAATTCTTAAGAAGTAACTTTGTTCATGTCAACATCATTTGAAATACCTTCCTAACATCTGAACTTTTGGGTTCTGTTGTCCAAGTAATAATTCGAGACACAGCCAGACGAGTTTCACTTGAATTTACAAAATCTCCTGGGTCCATCTGTTGTGCAAGGGTCTCTATGTATTTAAGGATTGCAACTTTTACCTATAAAAATAAAAAAATCAAATATACAGAAAAGTATAATATCTAATGACAAACATATGAGAATTGGAATTATTTTACTTATTTTACTTCACTAGCAATGCTAGTTGATGCTAATAGTAGCAATTCAGAAGTTATTTTTTTTAGAGCAGCAAATCAGTGAATTAGCTGAAAGGATCTTAAGCAAGAATCCATATGTAGTACCAGTAATACCTGTATAATTCAAAAGCCTATTTTGGATTCCAAATGGAAAATAAATAATTAAAATAACTTTAAAGGTTACGCAGGAGAAAGGCAAAAAAATACAGACAATATTTCTACATACTTCCAGGTTTTTTCTAAATGGAAGTTCTTTGGTGCTAATTAATAAGCTACTTTTAAATCTGAATTTCCAATATAATTTAAGGTGTGTAATTGAGAACAGCCTTAGGGTCCTACAGGATATGAAAAACATGGTAGTGCCAAAAATAGATATTCTAGCACCATAAATATATACAAGTCTATAATGATTTTAAATAAGGATGGTGGGTTTTTACATAATTTTAGCAACAGTTTTCACATAGCTGAAAACTGGAATATATCTGGAATAGATACAGAATGGAATTCTTCAGTAAGCTTCTAATCAAATTAAATTAAGTACTTATAAAAATAAGAGACAATTTCTCTTTTGAGTCTGCTTAGTGGACAGAAAAGATTTAATTCCGGTATATACATTCCTTTAAATATTCTGCTAGAATTTTCCAATAATTCCTTTTCCTTTGCATACATATTATGTATGTTTACTTTCTGAGAGACATAGATGGGAAGCCCATTTACAACAATACCAGGACTCAAAATATAATTATCTTTTCCATATCAAACTTATAAATTATTCATATCAATTTCTTACATGACTGTTCTAACAATTTAGTATACTTGCATCAAAAATATATCTTTAAACATAATCTTACTGATAAGACATCATTAGTTCAGTGGAATTCAAACAAGGCAAAATTATTTCTGATAATAACTTTTTGGTAGCTGAGAGCCATCCACTACAGAGAAGTTGTGCCTGGCCTGCAACTACGTAGAATTTATTTATTTAGCGAATGGCATATCATACATGGACTACAATATATATTAACATTTCATCTAGATTAGTAAAACATAATAAAATGTAAAAAGTATTTCTGAGTGCCCTAAATATATCTGAACTCAGAGTAATGAGTAAAACAATCTGAGAAGATTGTTGCCCTTAGGCCTTGTATACAAGTTATCTAGCTTCAAACTGGCTGTAGTTAGAAATAGAATATTGGACTAGATCAGGGGTAGGCAACCTCGGCTCTTTTATGACTCATGTACTTCAACTCCCAGAATTCCTGAGCCAGCTATGCTGACTCAGGAATTCTGGGAGTTGAAGTCCATGAGTCATAAAAGAGCCGAGGTTGCCTACCCCTGGACTAGATGATCAATTCAATTCAGCATGCTATTTTTTAAAGAATAGATATCCCCAGGGCTTTTTTTCTCATAGAACTCCCAGAACGGAGTTCCGGCACCTTTTTTGGAAGGAACCTTGTAGGGTAGGCAAGGCGGGTTGTATGATGTGTGTGAGTTCTGGCATCTTTTTTTTTTTTTTTTTTAAAGAAAAAAAGCATTGCACATTCCATAATAAATATTTGTGTATAATACATCTATGAACAATAATATTGCTAAATGTTATAATGAACACAGAATATTGAGAGTTTATTCTAAAAAATATGCATCTTTGGCACAAATAATCTAATTCCAAAAGCAATGCAGTAGTCCTTACATAAGATAGATGTCCCAAAACCCACTTAAAACCCTCTTTTGAAGTTATTGCTGCTGCAGCACCCACATCGTGATTCACACTTAGGAGTCACAGCAAGAACCCTGCAGCCCCCCCACCGGCCTATCTCCCTCATTCTGCCCTACTGTGTCCCTGCAGGTCTAGGGCCACCTTTATACCCTCATGGTGCACTATCCTTTGAAGATCTCTAAAGCTCTGGTCCTCATATCCCTCGCAAGCCACCCCATCCTTTAGCATCCCTGGGGTATGTGGCTAGAAGCAGCTGCAACGAATTGTGGTTATGCCAAAATGGCAGATGCTTCTGGGATACGGCTGTAGTCTGCTCTGCTCCTCTAATGCAGTCTGTGTAGCACTGCAGAAATCTCTGGAGTTTTGAGCAAAACTGCACAGACCTTGTTAAGATCACTTTATCCCTGGGCCATGTGGCTGCATCCAGAAAGCAGCTGCCATTTTGGAGTAGCCACAATTTCACAAGTCTGGAGCTCTGGAGTTCTTCATAAGATAAGTGCATGATGGGTATTGAGAAGCAGGGAGGAGATGGGTCCAGTGGGGTGGGAAGCAGGCCTAGGTTATGCAGAAAGTCCTGTGGGGGGGAAAGGAAGCCTATGAGGGGAAAGCAGGTCAAAGAGCTATGGGGACCTTGAGGGGCGGGAAATAAAACATGGGGATATCTGGGAGGGGAGGCGTTGGGAGGCAGGCAGGCCTTAATGTGTGCTAGGCATTCTGGGTCTCCCCTAAGGCAATTTAATTTAAGTAACACATATGCAACGTTACTGAGCAGGTTCCATTAGTGTTGTGTATGTAGATTCTTCAGTTAAGCAATCACCATGTCCTATATGACCAGTTTCAATTTAAGTCTCACCAGATAAAGGTAGTTATGTGAAACAGTGCATAAAAGCATGACATAATGTAATAATCCTATCTCTCTGTTGTGAGATCTTAAGGAAAGATAGATTTATACAAATTAGAGACTACCTGATACCTAATGACTGAGAACACTACACAACAAAAGGAAAATACCTTCTTATAGCTGCCAAAAGCAATAAAAAGTGCCATAGGAAAAACTATGCCGTTAAGCAATGCTAACTAAAAAAAAATAATTAACACATCTGCCAAGAATAGCATCAGCATTATCTATCACATAAACACAGAGCACTTTTATAGTTTATTAATGAAAGATTCCTGAAGAGAATTTTGGTCTACATGTAGTTTCTTATATTGAATAGATTCTTAATACTTGCTGTTGACACTATTTTTGTTGCCATCTACACTATTTTTGTTGCTCTCTCCATTTTGTAGTCCATGGAGTCCATGTTCTAATATGAGCATTGTGAAAAATTAGATGGCACTTTACTACTGTTTGCTTACTTTCTGAATATAATATAAATTTTGTTTATTCATAAATACAGAGTTACATATATTTGTTTTGCTTTTACTTTGTAAAAATTAAGTAGTCATTTTTTATATTCATATTTCATTTCATATTGCTTAATTTTATAGCAATATACCAGAGTTTCTTATATTTGGAAGTTTGTGTGCAAATGTAGGAAGCATACCATAGTAATAATGGGAGATTTCAACTATCCAGATATCAACTGGGAGACAAACTCTGCAGCAAACGAGCATGAGATCAAACAGATTCCTAACTAACCTAGCCGACAACTTTGTCATCCAAAAGGTGGAGAAGGAAACTAGACAGAAAGCCATACTGGACTTAATTATAACTAATATAGAAGAAGTGATAGAAGGAGTTGAAGTTGCTGTAACCTTGGGCGAAAGTGACCATGACATACTGGAATTTAATATAATGCAAACACTAGCAACAGAAAACAATCCAACCAGTGTTTTGAACTTCAAAAGAGCTGACTTTAACAAACTCAGAGAGAACCTAGGAAAGATCTCATGGATGAAAATCCTAAAGGGGAAAACAATCCAAGAAGTGTGGGAAACTACAAAATGCGATCATAAAAGCCCAGACCAGCACAATACCACTGAAAAAGAAAAACAAGAAATTCAAGAAGAAACCAACATGTCTGCACAAAGATCTCTCTGACAAACTGAAAGACAAAAAGGACAAATACAAAAAATGGAAAGAGGGCCATATAACTAAGGCTGGCTATCAGTAGACAGCCAGAGCATACAAAGATGAAAGTCAGGAAAGCAAAGACTCAGAATGAACAAAGACTTGCAACATAAATCATGGATAATAAAAAAAGTTTCTTCCAACATATTAACAAGAAAAAAAATCAAGAAAACTGTAGGTCCACTAAAGAGAGAAGTGGCAAGGAAATAACAGGCAACAGGGAGAAAGCAGAGCTGCTTAATTCATACTTTGCATCAGTCTTCACACAAAAAGAAAGTATAGCCCAACATACAAAAAAACCCACTGCAAAAGACAAATTAGAAACAAATTCTATTCTATTCTATTCTATTCTATTCTATTCTATTCTATTCTATTCTATTCTATTCTATTCCTAATTCTAAATGCAAACATATAATGTCCTCACATCTACAATTAGTAACACAAAATTTCAATGATTCACATATATACAACTTACAGTTAAAGGAATTTTTTAATCAGGACAAATCCAACCCATGTGGATCCCCCCATGTTGCTCTCCCCCCCAGTTTTAACAACTTTATTCCTTTATGCTTAAATCTACAGAAAAATCTAAAGATTCACTGTAACAAAATAGTTAACATGAATTTCTATATAGCATTTATAATAAACATTGCATTTTTGCAAATATGATATTTTTGCTTGTAACTTTGATACTGCTGCATCCAGGAGTAAAAAAGTACCATCTTGTAAAAAGCAGTTAATAAACTAAAAACGCTGTGCCAGACAGAGAAAAATGGTGGTTACATATATGCTTGTTATTTTCCCAAATGTCTCAGTTGCTGTATATACACTGTATATATACCCAACTCTGAGGTTTTTCCAACTGATCATCTGCAGGAGAATAGTTTTTGTTTGTTTATATATTTCAACTTTTACATATTTTCAGCTATAGTTCAGTGTCTGAATATGTATCATTAATATCATACAATATTCATTATAAAAGCTTAAAGGCAAATGACTCAAATTTTGAAGATGCAAAAACATTTTACAACCGCAGAAAACTCAGCAAAAAATTCTACTGTGATACTATTCAGTCTTTTAAATGTAGATTGGGAAATTACAAACATAAAATTAGAAGAGATTTGACAGAATGAGCTTGCATAACCAGCTTGGTGTTAGACAGCCATACAATTTTTTAAAACTGTGTTGGACTTTGTGGAGTTTTTATAGGATTCATCGTCAAATGTTTCAGACAACCACATAACACTTGGTATCAAATATACAAGAGCATGCTCAAAATTCCTTGCAAAGGTTAGTAGCAGTATATGGATGCATAAGAATATTTTAATGTAAATTTTACATACAATAGGTTAAAAAAAGGAATAATGCAGAAAAAAAAACCTTGGAACTCCAAAAAGAACGAAGCTGGTCCTGCAGTGCTGGCTTGACTGTCTGAAATTTTATAAAAAAAAAACAACCCCACTAATTGAAAACCAACAACATTGAATGTATAACATGACAAAATTATTATTGAATGGAATGTTACACATAATTGTAAAGCTTTATAATTTTTTACCTTCAGACTTGGTGTTTGGGTCTGATCAACAGTAAACCGCATTAAAATACTGAATTGAAGATCATTTGGAAACGATTCCCTAAGAAATAACAGAATTAAATTTCACTTCATAAAGTATGTTCGGAAACTAGGCCTAAAAAGGGAAATACATGTACTTTGCCTAAGTAAGCAATATTAGTGAGACATAATATAAAAATTATGGGTTTGTAAATAGTGAAAATTTTAAAACTGGACAAAGCATTTCAGTTCATTCTTTTTAAAGGTATATTGTATATAAACATCACCAGAAGTAGACAATATTGGTGAAAGACACTTTTCTATATTCTATGTTGACATATATAGCTGTGATTATTTTATTGTATTATTTATTGTATTGTATTCTAAAGCAGAGGTCCCCAACCTTTTGGGCACCAGGAACCATTCTGTGGAGAGAGGTTTTTCCACAGACCGGAGGGTGCGTGGTTTTGTGTGCTGCCTACATCCCATGGATGGAGTTTTGTTTTTGTGGATTGGTTGCTGGCATGCTGGTATTGGTCCATGGACTGGGGGTTGGGGACCCCTGTTCTAAAGGATGCAAAACTGAAATATAGATGTAGAAAGTTTAAAATGTATGTATTTTTATTCTGACATCAATCTATTACCTTGTCACATCTAAAGCCTTCTGAACTTTGGCTTGCACAGATCCCAACAAATCAGCACCCATTTTTTTCAGAAGTTGGGTCAGAAGCACAAATAGCCAATCTTGTAGATCTTCTTTATGAACTTGGATAAAATCTACTAATGTTTCCAAAAACATGCTGAACACCTGCAGTAGGGGAAAAAAGGGAGGACAAAAGGGAAAAAAAAGAGTAGGGAAGAAAAGGAGTTGATGCTTGCCTGTGTTGAACTCACAAAATAATGTAGTATCACATAGAAGCAGATAGAGGCAATGATACACAGCCAAGCGGGAAAACATTCTCTCCTGTCTTGTCAGAATCTTTGATTCAGAAATTTATTTGTATTTCTGGAAATTAGTACTTCATGCAATACCACTGAGCAAAGAAATGCTGTGATGACTGGCGCAATTCTCTTCTTCCCTCCTCTCTGCTTTGGTGTTGTCTATTCCATTGAATTTGGGGACTTGATCTATGCTTCAAACTGTGACCCCATTATAGCATACTAGATCTTTTCATTACAACTGATCTGAAAAATTCTAAATCTTTCCAGCTTTAGTGATATATTATTTACTTTCATAGATCTTATATTCTCTCATATTGCTCAGTCACAATTTTTATCTTTTTCATACAAACATGCTATTTTTTCTGCTATTCATCACTTTACAGATTAATTCAAATATGATGCTTAATAAAGTCATAAAAGATCTTGCTTTTCGATTTGAAAAATAGTTTTACATCACTCAGTCTTGCATGCAAACATGCTGGATATAGATGAAAAAAGCTAAGATGCCACAACAAATCTTTAGTGAAACAGATTTATGTCTATCTTCAATATAGTACACTGTAAGACTTGAAGCAGGGAAAAATGAAATTAATGTCTTACAAAGGATCTCTGTACACCTAACAATTTAACTGCAGCATTGTTTATAAAAATGTCAATAATTATGGAAACATAAAATTGAGCAGAATCGGGAGATCGTATGAAGAAATTTAAAATTGGAAACTTGATCTTCATAGTTTTTGGAAGTATTTGTATCAAAACAATATAGTTATATAAAATCATAAAGGTGATCCAAAAATGGTGTACGTGAATCAGAAAGCAAGTTGATTAAATAATGTATAGCTGCAACAGGGAAACTTTATCTTTTTCCATATAGATAGTAAAATACTTAGCTATACTTTGTACTGAAATTAGTAATCAAACTTTCAAATAAGAATAAAACTCTTCTACAAAGCATAAAAAAGAATAATACTTTGGTTCCTGCTGCAAACAAAAAAATAAAAATAACACTGGAAATTTATGAGGTAAAAGAAAATTTGAACATTTTAAATCTATGTTCGTACTGTAAAATAATTCACCATCAGAGCTTTCTATGCTTTTCTATAGTAGTCTGTTCATATGCTGCTATTTGGCCCTTTATTTATTTAATATAAAAAACCCCAATGTTTAAAATAGTCCTAAACTTGTAGAATATTTAATAAGAACACATAGTGAATATATCTTTCTGTTGAAACTCCCCACTAACAAGACATGTTCTTTTGCCCAATTCCTAAAATGTGGGTCTCATCACTAAGACAGTGATTTTCAGTTCTAGTTCCACATTTATCTTGGGTCTATATTTGCTCTTTACAGCAGCAAATTACAGACTCTGCTGTTGGGTAGTGCAAGCTAAATAAGGGGCAGTGTAGGCACAATTTTGTTAAGACTCCAGCTTTGGGGATACAGATCAGGAGTGGTCCATCTAGGGTTGGAGTTTTGTCACAACCCATTCCAAGCTTTACTGTAGGATTAGTTTTAAGTTCCAGTTAAATATATCCAGATAAAGTAATACAGAAAACTATAATTTAATAAACTATGGAGGAAGGGGATATCAAAAAAGCTAGGCTTTCCAATTTTTTACTACAGTAAACTCAGTTGAATAAAATTGGTTTACACAATTTCAATGTAATCACTGAAGCTGAAGGTCTCTTATAGTAATTTTTTTTAACCCACCCATCTTTTTACAAAAAGTAAACAGAAGACATAAGACAGGAAAACACACATTTAGGCCTTTCAAACCAAAATGAGTGCAGGAGTGTGGAAGCAGAGCAGAATATGTATTATTTGGCTATTTGGTTTACTAACTTAACTTTTTTTATTGTAGGTTAGATTGTGTAAATTTGAACTGTGCCAAATGAATGTTTATTAAATTGAGGCATACTGTAGTAGAGAATTTGAAAGCCTAGTTTTTGGAAATATTTTCCACTAACAACCTAAGGGGGACCAAGGGATATATGTTGTTTCTATAGCTGGAATGACAAAGTGGGCATGGTCTAATCATACATATGAGCAGAGCTTGCTCCAGGGACACCAAGATGGGGATTGTTCTTTGGCGGTATCTGAGGTATGCAAATTTAACTTTTATAATACTTTTTCTTGGGTTTCTCACCTCAAAATGCTAAGATTTTTTTTAAAAAAACTAAGGAATAGTTTTCTAAAATCATGATAAAAAGGGTTTCCAGGGGTTACAATAAGGGGACTTGGAAACTCCAGTTATCCATCAGTGTACTCAAAAAATAATAGCAATATTGAGTAAAAAGAATGATGCAACAAAATTGGATTCAGACCAAGTTAATTCTTAATATCGGTGTAATTCAACTGAATTATGGTCATAATTGTTGTTAATTTCAATGGGACCTAAATTCAACTATGTCAATTTATCTCCAACTCATTGTTTACGTGACGCATTTAATGGCATTGATAGGCAATCATTTCATATAAAACATCAACAGACACTACTGCATGTTATCTTGTTTTTAAACTGAAGAATATGAAAACAATCCAAGGAGCTGAACTTGCCCTTAGCAATAAAGTCTTGATATTTAACAAGTCAACTTACCATATTTCATGTTCAAAATTGCAACACCTGTCACTGTCTAACAATGCTGTTCCTCCTTCATATTTATTGACCGTAGATCAGTTAAATATAAACATAATTTATACACTGCTCAGTATTGCATATTTTCATGGCATTTTGCAGAAAAAATATAGATATTCAAGATAAGGGATAGCTAAAAGGGTTTGTATTTGTGTGTGTAAAAATCCACACACACAGCGTATACACACAGAGAATGTATGTCTGTGTCTATGTCTATGTGTATGCATGTATGTATATGTGTATTCCTATAAACAAATCTAGATATAAATCTTCAACTGGATTGTGGAGAAAAAATGTTTTAAATCTTTTTAATATGGATATTTCCTTAGATGACATGAAATTAAGATGCGCCAGTCACCACAATACACAATAGCAGTAGAAAACAAAAGGAAAGTTAATTTGTATACAAAAAGCATTTCATGATAATTTTTATAGCTGCAGGAATTTATAAAGTGCAAAAGCTACATTCTACAAACATTCTTATAGGTATAGAGGGGAGAAAGATTAGTATCCATCATGCAACAAAGTCAGGGTTCCAACGAATATTGAACCAACTTACTCTCTATAGAGAGTTCCAACACAGGGGACAGCATGCAAAAAGAAAAAAAAGGGGGGAAGGAAGGGAGGGGGGAGATAAAACACACAAATTAGTTGCCATCTGCATAGTTCCTGCGTGAGAAAATTATGATACAAGGATTTATATGTTTTAAAATATTAATACCTTTGGAATCAAATTCCTAAGTAGCATATAACTACCAATCTACCTTCTGTCTTCTTCCCCAATTTTCTCTTTCGAGAAAAGTGGAAGAAAAGTGCTTTTTTATGAGCAATTTTAAAACATGGCTGTGCATCAATTCAAGCATCGAACTTTAGTAAGTTAAAGAACTATAATCTATGCATATCTATTAAAATTATAACATCTTAAGTAGATGTGCATATTTTGGGGTATACTATAGATACAAACATAATACAACTGAAATCTATTATTTTCTATTATAGCAGCTTTTTTGCAATATTTACAGGATTGAACAATCTGACATAGTGCTTCAAGTAACAGAATTTTAGCTACTTTTCTGTGAAAGCTTAAATATTTTACTGAGCCCCTATGGGCTCCTAAAACAAAGTGCCATTAGACAATTCAGCCAATAATATCCTCAAACACAGCCAAAGGACTTATAAAAACATTCTAGAATGATTGCTATAAACAGATCAAATTAAACTAAAGGTACACATCTAACAAAAACTACAGAAAAGTTTGCTGAAGTTAAAATGCGTTCATAAATGGAATAATCCAAAAATTTAGAATTTACACTAAAAGGTGCAGAACGTTTTCAGTGAATTTAATCAGATACTTCAAACAAATATTAAGAACCCACAACTTTGTTATCAATAGTTGTTCAAATATTTATTATAAAGGAAAGGTGGGAACAAATTGAAAATGTCAGTATCTGAAACAGGGTGGAGATGGAGTGTTTCTCGCAGAAACCATAGTGTTGACTCAATTTTTATCCTACATTTCTTCTACACTACACACAACAAAATTAGAATAGTTGATAACTTGAACTTCACTTCCTCTCTAATTCTTCATTCTTCCTTCACTTGTGCAGCAAATAATATCCAAAATATTAAAAAAATAAAATCTTGCAAGTAATATTTACAGTGCTTGAATGTAAAGTCTTATTCCTTGATATAATATATCCTCTACCCTCTGCATATGAGTAGGAAAAGAAATAGTTTCCATAGGTTTAAATATCAATTTATTGACCATTTCTCTAAAATTGGTATATCAAACTTAATTATATTACGGTTTTCATATACTGAGTTTCTTATTCCATTGGCACAGAGCTATTTGCAAGAAATAACTTAAAGTGAAAAATTAGGAAGCTATATTAAGCAAATACTGGAAATCATTATATTATTCAGATATAATGGATTATTTAACCTAGGAAATTATTTCTATGATTGTAATATCAAACAGTGTAAAAGAAGATCACAAGCAAGTCTATCCCAGGTATTAGTTCTTACAAAGTTAATGTTCTTACAAATACAATACTAGCAAGACAAAATATCAAAATACAACACTGATGCTTACTGTGAGGGATAATTGGATATAGGGTAATCAAGCTAGTTAACTGCCTTTTGTTCAGAATGTAATAAACAAAAAGTTTTAATTATAATCACATCAGAAATGTCGGTACTGTGGATAAATTTGATGTAGAAACATGGATCATAATAATGAAATATAAATACAGAACAGGTACAGAGTCATTTGGAAGTTTGTTTGGTGTAATGCTGAATTTAAACTTCTGAATGTCCTTATAAACAAAATGATAAAAATAAGATGCTATGGCATTCTTTTTACCAATAATACTTCATCACAAATGTAGTGAATAACCTAATTAGTGCAAGAAGTACACCAATTAATATCTAGTAAGTTTATTGATGCAAATGCTATTTCATACAGAGTTATTTAATGAAGAGATGAGTAAATATGAAGTTTTGTAAGCTAGTCTAAATCAAGTTTTATAATATCAGAAGGGCAACAATTGTCCTGAAAACTTTATAACAACAAACACAGATTTAATACTGGAAGCAAGGTCATTTATTACTTCTGGCAGATAGCTGGGTCTGGCTTTCATTTGGTTACCATATTAGGTTGGGTTGGATACAGATAGCCTCAGCTTATGATCACAATCGAGGCAAAAACTTCTGTTGCTAAGCAAGGCAGCCATGTTATGACCTTTTTTGCCACAGCTGTTAAATAAATCACTGCGATTGTTAAATGAATCATGCAGTTAAATGAATCTGATTTCCCCCATTGACTTTGCTTATTGGAAGCTGAATGGGAAGGTTTTAATGATGACACATGACCCTGGGACATTGCGACCATCATAATGCATACCAACTGCCAAGTACCTGAATTTTGATCATGTGACCATGGAGGTGCTGCAATGATTTTAAGTGGTCATAAGTCACTATTTGCAATTACATTATAACATTTAACAGTCACTAAATGAATGATTGTAAGTCAAGGGCTACCTGTACTTGTTCCCTTTCAGAGGAATCATATTTCATCACGACGTGACTATATTGTATACTCTAGTGTCTTAATTATATTTATGTAATTCTTTTGCCATGAGTACTGGGTAATGATAATTTCATTGCCTGCATTAATATAAAAACACAACTCTGACTTCTCCCAGATATTCTGAAAAAAGAATGTTAGGATCTTCACATTTACAGTGAATTTACTGAAATCTGGACAGGACCAAGTCACTGAAATTCATAGGGGGACAAAGCTAAGTGATTCTGCTATTTGAAATATTTTGGAATCTAAGATGATTGAAGCTTCTTGCTCTCTTATAAGTACCTGACAAAGAAATTGTGTTCTAATGAAAGTCCCAGCCATGGAATAAAAATAGATTAATAAAAAAGGTTTTTTGTTCCATGAATGAAAGCAAATGAAGTTTTTTGTTTGTTTGTTTGTTTAATATGCAGTCCATCTCACTGTTGCATCAACTCTGGATGGCTTACAAACAGTTGGAGAGCAAAGTTTCCTCTGAGGCAGAGCTTTAGCTGAAGAAAAAAGTGGCTATAAGTCCTTAAATGAAAACAGTAAATATAACTGATTCAATTTCCAAAATCTAGCATTTACCTAATTATTCTTTAGGATTTAATATTTTCTCCCCAGAGACTAGGAAATGTGGATCAGATGATTAATTTTACTCCCTAATCAGTTGGACAATGAAAAAAGATTACAATAAGAGTTTGTTTAATCCTGCTCTTAAGAGCCTCTACTTTTGTCTAAATCTGAAAAGTGGGAATATATTGGTAGTATGTGGAAAGAGGAACATGTAATTTTTAAATGGAAGCATGTGTGCCTCTAGTGTTCAGTTTCTGATCAGATCTAACACTGATTCAAGAGATGTGAAAGTGCTAGCTATCCTGGAAAGCCTGTACCTGGGAAAAGAAGCCTGTTTTATAAGATCTTTTTCACGTCAACACTGGTAAAAGACAAATTAAAAGTCAGTGTAATATAGTGATTAAAAGTGCTGGATTAGAAACTATGTCTAGTCTTGCTTTAGGCATATGAGCCAATTGGATAATTTTGAGCCAGTAATTTTTTCTGAACTCTAGGAAGAAGGTCCTGGCAAACCACTTCAAAAAATATTGTCAAAGAACTGAATCACACCACACCGAGGGAGAGGGAGAGAAGGACAAGGAGAAGGAGAAAGAGGGAGAGACAGAATAGCTCTTTGCTGCCATCTGATGGTGGATGAAAGGAATAATTTCAATTTGTACTTTATATAGATAAACATCTGGAATTAGCTGCTTTTCTGACTATTACATTTTATTAAAAGGCATAAGATTTCATAAGTGTAGCTCATTTCATTAGATGCATAACATAATGTGCACAGTTTCAGCTCATTTTATTACATTTGTTAGTTGGAAAGGAGCTTGTTAAAAAATTCCTCCTAAAATTTGGCTACCATAAACTACAGTAGCAAAAGGCCCTCCTTTTGTATTTGATAAGCACACAAACCAATGGGGTGAGCCTGCTACAGGAGAACAGAAAGCTTGAAAACCCCCAACATTGATATTATGACACGCTGAATCAAATATCAAATAATTGGGCTTGGAGTTATTAATTGTTCCACTGATATCTGCATTCTCCCTAAAAAGACTCACAGAGCAATTCCTTTCTTGGTTTGGCCAGAAGATAGTTTCTTTTGTTTCTTTCTTCAGCAGATACTCCCTTCTCAATGTTACAGAGAGGCAAAACAAGACAAAGAAAATATCCATTTTGTATATTAAAAAGAAATTAGAAGACTCTAAAAACAGGGGGAAGAAAAAGGAAATGAAGAACTGAATTGAATAGGGAAGGCCTGAAAAAGACAACAAAATAATTCGAAGGTGAGAGAAGTTATGTTTTGTATCTGTTTTTATTAAGGAGAAGATGAGAGGAATTTCTAAGAAGATACAGCACAAAAAGTTGAGTTACATAATTTCTTGCTTATGAGCAAACCGGAAATAACCGACCTTATATAAATCATAATGGTTTAACAGAATGCTTTCTGGGGTCTCAAGTCACTTCTAGTTAAAGGAACACATTATCTGCCTCTACCTTATAGATAACTTGAATAATAAGTTAAGTCCTCAGAGTTTAATCACATTTAATCAATGTGAATTAAATTACAGCAGCAAGTGCCACACTATGTATAGTTAATCCTCACTTAACAACTTCAAATGGGCCTGGAATTTTGTTTGTTAAACCATGTGGTAGTTCTGCAGGAGAAAAATCTCAGTCACATGACTGCAAGATGCTGCGAATGATTCTCAATGCGAGCTAGTTGCCAATTGCCCCAAATGTAATGTAACCAAGGGTGGGTGTAGCAGTGGTTGTAATTTTGGAAATGGGTTATAAATAGCATTTTTTTTGAGTCCATTGTAACTTCAAACAATCATTAAGTGACTGGTCGTTGAACAAGAACTATCTGAACCTGATGAGGTCCTTTCTTGCATTTAGGAATCCTGGACCTGTGTAATTGGAGAACAGCAATACTTGAAATCCTTGAGCCTGTATCTTATCTTTTAGCTTTGTGAGTAAAGCAACTCCAAGGATCAAAGCTTTTAGAATTTTAATCTATATAATACTTAGTAAATCATCATAAATAATAAAATGGAAATACATACCTTGCTATGAGGATCAGCAAACATCCTCGTGAAGATTTCACACAATCTTTTTAATTCAACACGACTGCCAAAATGACAAATTATTACTTTAGTAAAACTTCAGATGAAAAAGAAATCCATGTCCCAATTTACTTAAAAATATTTGCAAATACACTTTTTAAAAATATAATTTGTTAATGATCTCATAAAATGCAAAGAATTTTTCAAAACACATTGCCCTGTATTTCCTATATAGAGAATATTCTAGTTCTAACCTTAAAAAAAGATCTTGCAGAAAGTACAAATTGGACTTTATCATATAGCTATTTGTCCTTAAGGAAAATGACAGCATGGAATGAGTGAACGCAAGATTTAAGTTGATTGTTTTGAAAGGAAAAAGCTTTATTTCAGTATTGCAAACATTTATCAGATATATCCTCTTGAGCCATTTTACAGGTAGTCCTTGACTTATGACCACAACTGGGACCACAGTTTCTATTGCTCAGATGGTTGTTGAGTCAACTGATTTTTATGAGCTTTTTTTTACCATAGTTTCTAAGCAAATTACTGCAGTTTTTAAGTGAATCACTGTCATTAAGCAAATCTGGCTTCCCCATTGGCTTTATTTGTTGGAAATTGGCTGTGAAAGTAGCAAACAACAATCACATGACTCTAATTATCATAAATACATGCTAGTTACCATACACCCAAATTTTGATCATGTAACCATGCAAATGCTGTGATGGTTGTAAGTGTGGGAACTGGCTATAAATCACTGTTCACTGTGACCATTCAAATAGTGGCTAAACAAATGATTATAAGTTGTTGAGTATCAGTACTTTCTAAAATTGCTTTTTTAAAACTCAGTTTTCCCTCTGTCAAGTCTTCATGAGGTGTCCTTAATACAACAGAAATAGTTATTATTTCAACAACTTTCAATGAGTTCCATAAAGAGCCTCATTGTTCTTTCTATCCATGCTGCCCTGAGCCATCAAGACCCTTCCTGAAGGCAGGAATTGAGAATGGATCTTTACTTTTACCTCAGAAAATGGAGAATACTGGATCATGCATGAATAACAGTTGCAAATGATTGTATTGCTAAAACAAATCAGCTATTTCCTCGTACAGGCTTTTCCCACTCTGATTGACTCTTGGCACCCAATTCTATTATTTAACCAAAGCCTAAGAATAAACCAGAAAAAGTCTCACTTCTGTAAAACTTTAAGTTAGTTCTCCATGTTTGAATAGACAAATATCTGACTGATAGTTGAGTGTTTCCTGTTATGTAATATTCATTTTAAGCAACTGCTCCTGCTGCCTTGTATTAATTCTGCCTGCATATACAAATACACAGGATGAAGAAACCACCCTACTATTTTGTACTGACTGCCTAGTATAGGTGTGGGAGAGGATGAGACTTATAGATTTTAGTGAGATTTTGCCTTCTTCTCAAATGTAAAAAACTAGAGTTATAAGACTATTATATACAGTGATGTTTGGGAATCCTTTTTAATTTCAGTATTTTTGTATACATAAGACCTTAAATGTGATCTGCAAACTACTTCCATATTACTATTCAGACATTAGATGTGGCAATTAATGACTATTTTTAAATGAATGCCACAGTTATTAAGTAAACTATTTGCTTTGTGTCAGTTTTGAAAACCAGAAATAAATGCTAGTTTGGCAAAAACCATGTAAAATGTGTTTACATGACTGTGAGACACTGCAAATGGTCATAAATGCAGGCCAGTTGCCTAATGCAGTCACGTGACCATATTCCAAATACCCCTGTGGAGTTATAACTTCAAACAATCACTAGGCAATTGGTCGTAAATCGAAGATACCTGTATGTTGGCCAAAAGCCACACTTAAAGGAGATAAGTGCTTTTGTCCTCTCTCATTCCCTTGCTTACAGAATATCTGCTGCTGTTTGATGGCCAGAAGATAATGCTCTCAAATAATTTATTTGCAGAAGGTCTAATCATAGACTTCCTTCAGGTGAATATAGTAAGTAATGTCCATTTTTTTAAAAATGAAGCAAATTGGACTAGTTATTCTGCAATACACAAATCTAATTTAAGAAAGAGGCCAAATTTAAATGAGTAATCTTCTGAGTCCTGCTATCAGAGGTGACTGAACTATAACATTCTACAGTTCCATGGACTATATGGATTAGGTCCCATGACACAACTACTGCTGGGGAAAATGTTATGAGCCAAAACTCAACGCTATGTTAAATATAATAGATTGTACATGGAGCACAATGAACATTTGAAATATAATTATGCATCATTTCAGAAAATGTACGCAATACTTAGATCAATGTCACAGGAGTAATTAAATTTCTTATAGGCTTGGGTAATACAGTTACTTCATCCATTTTCCCAGGATTGAAAGTTAACAACTGTGTTTTGTGATAGTTTCGTTTTCCTTGTTTAGCGTATTTGTTCTGAAATCTTCTTAGGTCCTGTCTCTGTGAAAAATGCAATTTTATGGACTACTTGGAAACCTGGGATATCCTTTGGATCTGGGTGTTTGTTACCTAATTGATGTAATTTATGATGCATTTATATAATTTTGAGTAATTATGTAATTATGATAATTATGCGGATTACATCAATTGTCTTGATTGCTTCAAAAACAATGGACTGAAATACATTTCTACCCAAACTTTAATACTGTACTTGTCATCAGTGACTTTCTGACAGGATCTTAAAAAAAAATAATGTAACAATGCCTTTGAGTACAGATTGCAAGATAATCATTCTACATATAGTGCCAACTGGAGGTTTTTACAATGGAGAATGAGGGTATTGAATTTTTTTGTCTACCAAAGTACCATCAGTTAAGCAATCTCTCATCTGCATATCATTAAACACAAGAGAGTTTGTTCTTCTCTTCTTGTCTGTGATTATCTGAGTCCTTTCAACATGGCAGTCAAGCTTAGAAAAACGTACTTTATTATTTATTTTTTTCTGAACTTAAATATCACAGTGAGGAGTGAAATCTGTGCGTGATTTAGATTCCTTAAATATAATCCCCCTGAAAATCACACCTTTATAAAAATTAAGCTTAGAATTAAGTGCAAGTATCTAGGTACTTAACCAGCTTCCCCTCTCCCCTCCCCATTTTTGCTGGGTCCTACAGTTGTCAGGCATACTCTCTCACAGCCAAGTCCAGGCATATACCTGTCATGCCAGGTTCAGACTCTCATTTTGGATTTCACTTTAATGGATTTGATCAGACAGCTTTGGAAATGACTTGTGGTTATCTGATTTGGATTATTAGATTGGAAAGCCACTCCAGAATGGGACTAGGGCTTGAGGAGTAGAACTGGAATGGGTTGAACTTGCACTAACTCTGGATACCTGTGGCATTATGGAACACTGGATTGCTGAGTGCCTGACAGCAGAAGCTGATTGCAGCTGTGTGAGAGGGGTGTGGGTGGTTGTTGGATAGATTCCTTGGCCAGGAAAGTTGGGGGTAATGGTCTGACACACCAAAGATTGCGGTTTGGATCTAATTTTTTTCTCAGGACAAGAGATTTGCAGTTGGAATATATTATAGTCATCCTGTCATGGTCAGATCACTCTGACTGCTTTTCAGTTTGCTATTACTGATCCCTCCCTCCACTTATGGTCTAGAAGCATGCTTTTCTGTAACAGTGCATGCCCTCTGGAATAACATACTACATACTACTCTGCTCTTCTTCAAGTGAGTCTTGAAGACCTGCAGTTGTCCAGGCATACTCTCTTCTTCTCCCCCCAGGTTTTGGACTAAAGTTGAGTGCAGGATTCCTCTGCGATGGTGCATATATGTGGTTGATTATAAATAGTACAGTTACTTTTCAGATTGTTTTTAGTCTTGATTTTTATTGTTTGCTGCCTGAAGTCATCTAGAATCAGGTGGTCTTATAAATGTAATTTAAGATTATAAATATATGTTTTCTACTGAAAGCAACTAATAAGATTGAGACTAAAATCTGCACTATTGAATATAATACTTTTACATCCGAGTACAATGAAAATAAATTTCTTACCTTAATGTCCTCTGGTTTTTTAATAAATTTTGTAGACCAAGAAGACCTTCTTTTCTCTCTGACCAGTTGGAGCTTGCACAGCGGTTAAGGACTTCAGCAACATCTTCTGTTTGTCGCATATAGGTGGGTATCGTGCCATTCCGTGAGCTATAGGATCTTTCTGAGCAGGCACTAGAAGCATCACTGTTAGCATCATCATCAGAGTACATTCCATAAGATTCATACCTCCTTCGAACTGGCTTTTTCTATTATACAGAGAAAATCATAAGATAAACAATGGCAAAATGAGCTCCTTTATCAGTTCAATTGTTCAATTTTTCAGATCCTACTACTATCTTCAGACATCACTAAAAAGAAGAAATGCTTATTGTTATTTACATGCAAAAAGCAATATTTAAACCAAAGATCTAATTAAAATGACATTCTCCCCAATCATTATTATAATTGCTATAGCTGAGATAAAATGCAGCAGATGTTCTAGTGATTTCACATTATTGCTAAGTTAATATTTCTGAATAATTTCCAGCCAAGGCACCAGCTTATCTGCTGAGGCTGCATTACTTAAAAACAACAACAATAACAACATACAGACAAATATTTGGAATTTATTTAAATGTGAGGTGTTATGGTAGAGCAAAAAAACAATGACATTTAAACCCACACAGACATATTTAGAATATTTTGGTAACTTAAAACATTTATGCAGACCATAAAACCTATTTATCAAAATAGTGTTATGTATATATATCATAAAGTTTGGTATATATATATATATATGTGTATATATATATTAATAGGGAAACAATAATAGTTATACCTTTGTCCGAATGTCTCCTAACAGCTGAGAGCATTATAGAAAAAACAAATGTTATGAATATAAACATTTAGTGGCTTGTTAGCAAATATGCTAAGCAGGTAGAATCAGAATACATGCACATGATTTACAGCACAAGAGTCTAGTTTTGATATGAAAGCAAACCAAAATTGGATTCATTCTACTATTCTATTCTCTATGAAACAGAAAAGTTTATGATTGAATGCTATAACCTGAATTACTGTTAGAGCTATCAAATTATTACTGTAAGATCAAAGAGCGGAGTGGAAAAAAACTGAAATATGCGAAGTAGGGCTTATAAAAGAAGGTGACATGTGTCATGAGACCTAATTAAAATATTATTTGATAAAATAGTTGGATTTTTCTCAGCCAGTATTTGTATTTATATTTGTGTTTTAAAGCAATGATATGTAGCTAATACCCCTCTTTGCAAAAATCCTCTTTGACACAATTGTCACAGAATACAACACAATTACAGTCCAAGACATTATCTTATAGAACAGGCAGAAGACAAGCTAGCTTGGGGGTTTCAGAGAACATATAGTCTTAAGAAAAACATGTTTATATAAAGAAAAAAGAGATATGCTAACACTTATTAGGAAAGGAGCATCACTTAACTTGGCAGAACCAATAATCAAATTGGACAATAATATAATAAAGCAGAAGAAAATAAAAATACTACTTTGTTATCCCCACAAAAACTTACCAAGGCATCTGCTACTGCTTCTTCAACATCTGAGCCTGTGTTTAAGACACGCATGGCACTAACTGATGAAGATAATCGGCTTGATTGACTAATTCCAAAACCTGAAATAAACAGTATAAAGTCCTGACTTAGAAAGTATAATATATTATTTTAAAAATGGAAATATAATATTTATCTGGAAGCGAACAAATACCTGAAATGTACAAATTTTATCCCTTTTGGTTCCTTATTACAAATCCCAGATGACATTTGATTTATTAAGTCACGAAAGTATAATAACTATTTTTGACACTGAATACTAACTAACCCAATAGGCTCTAATCTAGATAATGTTACATGCACATGCAGCAATTGTATGTGCAGCAAAAACTTTCCTTCAGTTTTTCCAAAGTACCTTTATTGTTAGACGTGAAAATGACTACATTTTTAAGGATTATACTGCTACAGTAAAATTTTTAAAGAAAGTTTGATATAATACAATCAATATCCAATTTAACCATAGCTGTAGAATTTGCATGATGACGTCAGCTATGTGTCATCATTTTCTCCTTGTCCTCCCTGAAAAGAACCATGTTTACTAAACTGTAGTTCCCAAAATATCCTCATAAAATTGAATTCCGCTATGATGTTGACACTTAAATGCAAATGTAAATGCATTTGTTATATTACTGTGGCTTCTATAATATCAAAACAAAATTCTATTGATAGCATAATTATACAGGAACTGAAAGAATGACAACTTATATAAATCTCCTATTAAAATGTGTTCAGTCTGGTTTAGAAATTATGAACCATATAAGCTGTATCACTGTGTATGTAAAAGCAACATGCATTAATAAAACTTTAGAAATAAAGGAAAATGAAACAAAAAAAATGCAACATTCATCTTAAATTAGGAGGAGAAAAAGTTTAGGGTATATGGAATGAAAGTATTGTTTCATATACTTCAAATATCCCAAAATTATAAATACAAGCTAATGCAGAAAGCAACAAAAATAGACTATACGGGAAACCAAATATGGTAAAAATTAATCCAGGATGATGGCACAAATGATAGCAAAGAGTACTCATCCTTCACCTGTAGCCCCATAAACATCTGGAGAGTAGAGAGCACCAGTAGATCTGGAGTGATGCCTGGAAGCTATAATAATAGGATCATATGAACCCTCTCTGTTATAATAATAATACAGAACAGAAAAACTGCAGAGAGAGCGATGAAGCAAGTTCTAGGCAAAGTGAGAAATCAGCCTGCCTCTAGAGACTGATTTACATAGTGAATAGTAACCAAGAGTGAAATTACAATGAGTGTTTGTTGTGGGATAACTAAAACAACTTATAGCTTCTATGATCAGCCACCTGTGTCCAACTACTGCCAAGTTATATTCAGAACTGTGCTATTGAAAGTGTTCAGAAATACTGTTGGTGGCACCATCAGTATAAAACAGTCACAAGGCTAGTGGCTAAAATAAATATGTTTATAGGACTCAGTGATAATTTGAAGGAGACTGTAAGTGATGTAGTGGATGGAAAGAAAATTATTGCTTTAATTGGGCTTACTCAGATATCAAAACTGTAGTAATTTATCAAACTATGAGGAAGACAAAAGATAAAGGTCCTATGGGCGCTGCTATATTGTTTCTTTGACAAGAATATGGGACTCATAGTTACAGGATTCATGAGGAATTTATCTCTCCCACTTATTTGGCTAGACCCCAGCTTTCTTCACAGTCCAAGAACTAGCCACATCTGATCCCTCCAAACCTTTCAGATCAGCTAAGTTTAATTAGATTGCAATTCTGGGCAGGGGTTGTTCATAGTGACACCTTTGAAGCAGGCAGAATGCAAAAACTGGTTTAGAAGGCTGGGTGGTAGTCCATAATGGTTGCATCTACTAGCAAATTTATTAATTTGCAAAATTAATCAAAGCGATGGACATACATGAGATTTTTTTAGATTAAAAATAATCTACTTAGCTACTTTATGTATAGATTAAATGGCATGTAGGTGACAGTGGGTACTATCATTTCACTTATTCCTGTGGCTACCAAATAATCAAGGTTGTAAAGGTCTTGTCCAAGTTCTCCTGGTTGTCTATGGTAATAGTTCATCTATGATTATCCTGGAACATGTCACTTAGAACTATTTTATAAAAAAAACAGAATACAGGTACTCCTTGACGTATGACCATCCATTTAGTAGCTATTTGAAATTATGATAATGTTGAAAAAAGTGACTTGTGACCAGTTTTTACACTTATGATTATTGCACCCTGTGGTCATGTGGTAAAAATTCAGGGGCTTGGCAACTGGCAGGTATTTACAATGGTTGCAGTATCCTGGGATCACATGATCGCCATTTGCAACCTTCCCAAAGGGCTTCCAACAAGTGAAGTCAATGGAGCAAGCCAAATTTACTTAATGACCATGATAAAAAAAACTCAGCTGAGCTCAATGACCACCTTATTTAGCAATGGAAGTTCCAGTCCCAATTGTGGTTGTAAGTTGAGGACTACCTATAGAAAGCATTTCTAGTCTTGCTTATACTCTATAATAGATTAATAAAGTGCAAAGCAATTTATAATTTTATAGAGAAGATATAGGAATTGGAAGTAATCAGCTTTAAAACTTTGGCATGAAATCATATCTTTGGTTGTTAAAATACTATTAATTTTTATTTAGTTTAAGTATTTCTAAGTAATATTCACTATTGCAGACACTACAGAAGTTAATGATATATTACAGCTGTTCACCTTAGTTATAAATTTACAGACAATACCACTGAAATTCTTGTTAAATTTGTAAAATATGTTGAAATAAAAATGCACTGATTCCAATTTTGCAAGATAACACACATAATTAACATGTGACTTAATTCATCATATAAATCAAGTATATCATGCAAATCATAAAAACAATTTAACCATAATTTAATAAAATGAGTATAGCAGAAGCACAATGACTATTTTTCATTGTTTAAAATACAATCTACTGCAGTCAAAATTAACAAATGCATATAAGAAAATATGTTATATTTTTATGTGTGTACATGTATAGTCATATATTCAATTCCTATGATTCTATGTATCTTTTTATTAGAGAGAAACACTAAATGTTAATTTTTTTGACTTAAAAGCAATTGAATCTTGAGATAGTAATTAAAATAAGTTCATAAGCAGGGCTCTGTGTCAAGCAGCGCCATTGTACTGATGGATTTCACACAAAACTGAGGCTTTAAAATAGTATGGTACAGTAGTGGCCAAAATTGTGGAAACTTTTTGGGAAAAGTGTATTTTTGAGGTTTGATGGCTAATAACACCACTTTTTTGGGGAGTACTTCCATAAAATTATATATCAATGAAAAGATAATTTAATCAAGAATGTAATGCAACAAAGTTTGTTCAATTATCTGTAATGTATTCTATGAAAAGTTATAGCCAAATAACCAGAAAAAGGAAGCACAACTTGCTTAGGTTGATATCAGGTAGCTTTCCTTCATCTGAGAATGAATGTTTAGAGAGCCAATCAGGTGTCATCTTGTTTTGGCAATGAACCAATCAGATCACAGTAGGATTCAGTTATTGATATCATGTATTGAAGCTGAGAGGAGGCATTTGTCAGTGTGTTATGTGATCGCTATCAAGTTGGTTGGGGTTTTTTGTGTTCTTTCATTTAGTGAGCTTATAAAACGTGATAAAATTAAAGTAATGGTGCAAAGAGTTGACTGGTTGCCCAGAAAGCGATGTAAAATAATATTATTAAGTGAACAAGGCTATAGTTATAAAGAAATTAGAAGAAAAATTGATGGAAATTTAACCAAAGGTGGTATTTCTACTGTACACTTTTCCACAATTTTGGTGGAACCAAACCTTTTCCACAAAGGTTTCCACAATTTTGGCCACTACTGTATACTAAAACCTGCTGTATACTTTTTTTCCTGAAAAAAGATGTTAAAAAAGAAATATTGATAGCTTTAGTTAATAATAACACTTAAATCAAACTTGTTACATTAAAATATAACTACAAGGAAAAATAATTTTGTACTCATCTCATTTCATTAAAAATTAGAAATTCAAGTCAATAATTACTATGGTGATGTAATGAACCAGTTAACAGGTTAGAATGTTATGTTTTAAAAAGAATGAATATTGGAAAGTATGCAATAATTATAAAATGAAATACAGCTTTTGAATACCTATGTAAAATTTGCCCATTATGTAATATGATAAAAAATTCAAATTACTAATCATTACTCTATTCCTTTGAATCTTCACTGCCATCATTATAATGAACTGAATATTGACTTTTACATTAAACAATTATCTAAAATATTAAGCAGATATCAAATCAAAACAAATCTAATATTTAGAGAAAAATCAAAACCAATTTTATTCAAAGTAATGAATAAAATTATGCATCATAGAAACAAAAGATACACCTACCACCTCAGTGTGCTGTACAGTCCAGAGGTGAGTGAGACTATCTTTAATTTTCCCATCAAATTTCATTTCCTTGCATTTAACAAGAACTTCCAAACTTGAATCTGAGATTTGACAGGAGACTTTCTGCTAAAATTACTGCATACATGCAGAAGATTTTCATTTTAATAAAAGTTCATCGGGAACATATATATTGAAGAAATTATTGATGTATGCAACAAAACTTTAGAAATACTTTGCATGTGCCTTTGGATTGTGCAATTACTCTACAATTCCACGGGAGATTTTTAAGCTCTTTAGATGGACAAATTCTTTAGCCAAAGTATGCAAATCGCCATGTCCTTTACACAGGGAAATATTTACTTGTTATTTTTACTTCAGCTTATATTAGCAGATAATCAGGGGCAAACAACCATGCAGAACAAGCTCTCCATGTACTTACCAAGGGGTGCAAAAGAGCGGACAGGGCTTGTATCCCTGCTGCTTTCACGACTGGCTTCTCGACTGCACCCCTGACTCACACTAGGCCGAGGAATACGACTACCTCGAGCTAGTATGATTCAGGGGACAGACCAACAGCAGCACAAAAAGGGAAAGATACAGAAAAAGTTCACATTTTAATGCAATCCCAAGTGTTTTCACTTCTACAATACAGTACTGAGCATTCTTAAAGCACTCTTTATTATTTATATAAATTTATATTTATATTACGAAAACATATATATATATATATATATATATATACACACACACAAACATATATACACAAACATATATATATATACACACACACACACGCACACACATATATATACACACATATACATATACTTACACTGAATATAGGAGATAATCCCAGAAAAACTTCTTGACTTGATAAACAAGTTATAATTGAGTGATATATGAATCAACATTAAACATACAACTATCTTCAGGGAAAATAGATGGTATTATTACACCTAGAGTATATACGTGTTCATCAGTTTAAATAAAATAGTATACATTAATATTGTCTCATAGTTACTTTCAAAATTCTTTCATGAATGTTAAGAATTGTGTGTTTTTTAAGTGATAAAGTAAGGTTTACAAACATGTTCCATCACAGGGCTAATTATATTAAGCTACAGGGACCAAATGTCTTATGTGTATGCTTTAAAATAAACCTGAGTGATAGCTTTAAAAATGTACATTTATGTTTTCTTCTCCCAAAGCAATACTAATCTCAGAAATTGAAAAGGCAGTATCAATAGCATTTTAGTCACATGTTCAGGAAAAGTGTGCTCAAGTATATATGAGCCCTTTCATTCTAGGACTGTGCTGCATTGCAAGGCTATGGTTTGTCTCTCTGTGTGTGTGTGCTTGTGCCCGTGTGTCTTAGAGACAGCATGATGATTTTACCCGGATGGTGCTGAAATGATTAGCCTAAATTTTAGGAAAAGGATAGAATTTGCACTAATTATTTTAGACTTTAGTGTGAGGAATTCTGCTGCTGAAAATTACTATTTTGGTAGCATATTGCTACTTCTGTGGGAAGAGACATAGCTTGTCTTTACTGTATTCAGTTGTTATGTGCGAGACAGAATAGTGTAACCTCTGCAGGCTATAATGAACAAATCTTACCAACAGACAATCTTGAAGGACTGGCTTCTCTGCTGCATCCTTGGCTTCGAGGAATCTTGCTCCTTTTTTGTGCTGTTGCAGGGTTAACGAGTACTCTCTGAACACCTGTATTCATAGTTGAAAGTGTAGTCGTAGTCAAAACTCTTCCAGGAGAACCAGAACGGCTTCCAGCTGAAGGCAAACAAAGCATGTGTTACAATTCTATTACGTAGAACAAGTTTCAATTGCCTGGAAGAACTTGAAGAAATTATTTATAACCTAGAAAAGTATACTGTCTGACATCTAGTCAGCAGGTATTATCAATTCATGTCCAAAAATGCATTTAATTGTTTTGCTTTTTAACACGAAATTAAATAAGAGTTGATTCTCATTTTGTGTTATCCCTAAAAGTATTAGGTGAATCTTACCAGTATAAATATCATTACCAGCTACTGTTTTCAGGACTCTTGATACATTTGAAACAAAATATATCTAACATAATTTACATGACTTGTTTGGTGTCATTACTTTCCTCACATTCCACTTTTGAATACAATTTTACAACTATTCAATCACTTATGAAACTGGTGAAATTACTGAACAGCTTCCAAATTCCTGTGAGATTAGGTAGATTAGTAGGAAAATATACATTTAGAAAAATTAATGCTTTGAGTTATATACAAATATTCATATATTTATGAATTTACTTTTACCATAGCTATTGATTAGAACAAAATAATCAATAATCAACAAATTCACAAAATCTACTATAATATAGAAAATGTATTTTTATTTTTGGATCCTTAAGCCTCCATACAAGAAGTAGGAAACTTGTGGGCTTCCAATGTTGTAAAACAAAATCTTCTAGGTAGATTACCCTTGTCTTTTCAGCATAATGGTAAAATTAAATAAAAACAACTTCAACTTGATAGAAAATTAAACAAAGAACTCTAAGAATAGGCTTGAGTTAGAATATGCTTCTAGCTATGGATATGTGATCAATTTGAAGTAGTGTTTAACCCCCATAAAAGATGATGAGGCAAGACAGTGCTCCATGCAAATGTTATGTGATCATTATTTATGCAGTGGCATATTATAGTAATACAACAGCAGTTCCCAAACTGTACACATTATCATGCTTATATGTGATTTATGAAACGAAACATAAGGCTCTAATATTTCTATGAAAACAGCAATCAGAGAGTAATTTTGGATCTACTGGTAAACCTTTGGGATTTTCTAGTAGATCAACAAAAATTATAAAATACTGTGTTTCCCTGAAAAAAAGACCAGGTCTTATATTTTTTTTGGAACCAAAAGACCCATTAGGACTTATTTTTTGGGGATATCTTATTTTGCGGCTGCCCGCCCACTCCATCCTGGTTGCTTGTGGCCGCAATGGGGCAGGAGCGCTCACGTCACACCAATGCCACCACTAAGAATTGAGGCAAGACAGGTGGGGGTGGAGCTGCCCCACATGCTGTGCACCTGCTTATCTTATGCCCCTGCAGCCAGGCCACCTATGCCCTGCCACCTGTCTCGCTTTGCATGGTTGCAACAGGGCAGGAGAGCATGCATTGCACTGGTGCCGCTGCCATGATGTGACGTAAGGCAGGTAAGGGGGTGGACCTGCCCCACACCCCGCCCTCGCTTACCTCAGGGCCTTGCAGACAGGCCACTTCCCGCTCGGCGACCTCCCTCACCCATTCAATGACCCATCTCCCTGCCCGCCTCTTCCCTTTGACTTCCCTCCCAAGCTGGTGGCATCTGCAGGACAAAGCGGGGACAGAAGAAAGCCCCTCCAGCTGTGGATGCAACTGTTGTGCAGTGGCGGCAGCCTTTTGCTGTCACTCCCCCTGGCTCCGAAATGGTGGAGGGGGACTGGGTAAGGGGACCAAGCCTCCCCTGTCCATCCTCTGTAGCATGACAGTCCGGCTCTGGAAGGGAGTGGAAGGGAAGATGTGGATGGGCAGCTGGGTCATTGAAGAATGGGGGGGAGGTCACCAAGGGGGGAGTGGCCTGGCTGTGGGGGCCCTGAGATAAGCAGGTGTGGCACACATGGGGCAGCTCCACCCCCCACAACCTGCCTCGCCTCGTGCCAGCAGTACCAGTGCGGCCCTCTGCCCCATTGCTGCAGCAAGCAACTAGACGGTCGGACAGAGTGGACGGGCTCTTAACTAGGGCTTATTTTTGGGGTAGGGCTTATATTAGTTGCACGCTAAAAAATCCTGCTAAGACTTATTTTCTGGGTGGGTCTTATTTTTAGGAAAACACAGTATCAACATAATTAACTTATTTGCCAAAATTATTCTGGTACATTTAAAATATTTCTGAATAAATGAGAAATATTTTTTGCACCAGGGTTCATTTGGTAGTCCAGTAGGTTCTAGTATAAAACAAATCAGATCCAGCAAGTCAGGTATATTCTAACTGAACTGAACTGAACTAAGACAACAGTATTTCTTTATCTCTGAAAGAGATAAAACAAGTACATATAATCAGCTCTTTTGCCTCACTAAGTGAGTATAATCCTTGCTGTCTAAAATATTCTTGGAATTTTGCTAATTTTTGTTTCGGAAATTGGAGTATAGTTCAGTTTTCAGAAGTCTGGGAAATACTGAAAATATGCTCTTTTTATATAGGAGTCTATGCAGCAGAAAAATGATATATATCAAACCAGGTATAAGAATATATACATTGTAGATCTTTTAAAAATGCATTAAAATATTCAGTGAATTAGAACAACATTTACATAATTTGGAGAATGAAAACCTATTCATATTTCCCTAGCTTACCATTCATCAACTCACAGTATTATTTCTGAGCACACAGGATAATGAAAAAGCAACTGAAAATTGGTCAAATCTGGTTTTCCCCCCCAAATGCATATATAACATCTTTTACCAAGGCTGCAATCGTGCACTAACTATATACTTTTAAAAAAACTACTTATTTCAAATTGTTTCTTAAAGATTTGTGAAAACAGCATGCAGACCATAAACTGAATCTTCATACATAAAACATGCTTGATTGAAATATGTGACAACAATTTTTATTCCTTATTAGCATAATTGGAAAAAACGTATAAAATCACGAATGCGTCCCTAGTACTTCCTGTTTTGAAATTGTTTAGCTGTTCTCAATATGGTTTTGAGTCTTCATATATATATAGTTACTATTTTGGGCCTGAAACATACTTCTTGTATACCCAAATACAGAATGTTTCTGCTGAATAGGATCCTGCAATTGATGGTCAAACAAGAATGCATACACAAAATCTAAAAAAACCTTACCACCAGACTGTGGATTAGCAGACTGTGATCCTGAACAAGTGTAAAGGCAGGAATAGGGCAAGGGTTTAAAATCCATGAAGAGGGAGGGAGCAGAGCAGGTTAATAATGAATGGCGAATGGAAATAAAAAAGCTTTAGTCATTTCATATAAAAAGCTGGAAATGCCACAAGAGGGTTAGGGCTAAAGCAGTGCATTTAAGTAGCTTCCACCAAGCTCAGCTGCTCATATACAACACAGACAGAAGCTGTATAATTACAGTTCTTCAGCTCTTGAACAAAGAACTGTAAAGTAATGAATTTAACTGAAATGTCACATCAAACTGTTGAAAGCTCTAACAAAAGTGTAAGTGAATGTCTAATAGGTACAGAAAAATAGTATTGTATTTTTCATTTTATAGACTCCAATGAGAGAAAATGAAAGTGAAGGAAGGATAATGTACAAGAATTCCATTGTTGAAATTCATGCAGAAGTGAAGAAGCAACTAAAGATGGCTGTCCAATTCTTTTAAAATCTACCTGCACTTGTTGAATCATTATCTGAATGATTCTGCATTTGTAAATATGATCACAGAAAAAATAATTATGCTTCCATATTGTTAAGTTTTTTTAGTGAAAACTGCAGTACAAAACTATGCATATGCAGGTTAATTCCATCATTACTGATATATAATAATAATAATAATAATAATAATAATAATAATAATAGTAGTAGTAGTAGTAGTAGTAGTAGTAGTAGTAGTAATAATAATAATAATAATAATAATAATAATAATAATAATAATGATGATGATGATGATGATGAAGTTGGAAGGGACCTTGGAGGTCATCGAGTCCAACCCCCTGCCCAGGCAGGAACCCTACACCATTTCAGACAAATGGCTGTCCAGTCTCTTCTTAAAAACTTCCAGTGTTGGAGCATTCACCGCTTCTGGAGGCAGGTTGTTCCATTGGTTAATTGTTCTAACTGTCAGGAAGTTTCTCCTTAGTTCTAGGTTGCTTCTCTCCTTGATCAGTTTCCACCCATTGCTTCTCGTCCTGCCTTCACAAGACTCAAACCATTGATTGAAGTAAAAATTCTGGCATTAATAAATGATACATGATTTGTGCCAGAGTTAATGCAAATATGCAGGGGGTGTGATGGCATGGGTAAAAGTTAGCTAGTCTCAGGGATATTTAGTTGATTATCTCGACTAAACAATCTCTATATTGGGTAATGAATATATTTGATTTCATTAACGACTGGAGTTGTGCTAGATTTATTCCTAAAAGAGAGACAACTTATGAAAAATCCACCCACCTGGGCAGAACAATCAATTACCCAAAGAGGTGATCATCTGTGGAGTTGCTTTAATTTGGATTTCTGCACCAAACAAGGAGTAAAAAGCTTCTTTAAATGAATGCTGAAAATATCCACCCAATCCTACTCCTTCCCTGACAAAGTCAGCTAAGACTTCTGAGCCCGCTGTTTCATATAAACTCAACATTAAGTTTCATTCTTGTAAATTTCAACACAAGCTTAAATGTTTGGAATGCTTCCAATCAGGAAAGGTTTCAGGTTAATTTAGAGATTAAACAGTTGCTGAAACTGCGTATACATTTTCATACACTGGCTATAGTACAGAAACATTTGATTACCATTTTTCACCTTAATTTTATCAAATTAAGTATTTGAAAATAAGAATGGAAATCTGAACTGCTTTAATGTCAAAATAATGTTGTTTTAGCTAATTTATTTATTACACATATTACTGTGGCAGTATTCACTGAGGTTTTTAACTTTATACAAAGATAAAGTTATTAAAATATTAACAGAATAATATTAATCAATTAAAGGGGAAAATTTCAAAAATGCTTATAATACATGAAAACCAGCTACGAAAAGGATACAAAAGAAATAATA